GAGAGGTGAATTTGGAGTTTTATTGTATCATGGTATGATCTTTATACATTATTCTTATTCACTCTTTTATATATCAAGCATCCATAATTTATCATCATTCATTAATATTTGGGTTCATGTACTTCCTTAATTCAATTTCAATCTCATCTCGAACTTCTTCCCAACAAGCAAGGACAGTCTAGAAACCTCCACATTCATAAACCTCGGATCATCATCATCGTCCAAAACCGTCTTAAGTAGAGAAATTCTCGGACCCTTAAATCTCTCGCTTGTCCTAACATAGTACGTTTCCACACTTTCCACGTTTTCGAACCCGACAAACGTCACTTTCCCGATGGTCAATTTCATTCTAGATGCGTACTCTGGGTTCACCACTTCTGATCTCAGTACCACGGATTTTCCGTTCACATAGCACTGGAACTTCACAAGGGTCCAATCACGGTTCCCTCCTTCCTTTCCCATCCGTATGTTCTCGCCGTCATCGAGAAACAGTTCGCCGGAAATGTTCTCAAGCTTGCTGGCTACGACCAGAAGCCGAAACGGCGTGGTTCTTGCTTCTCTAGTTGTCATTGCTTCTCCTTGCATAGCCACAATGCTACCTATTCACAAAGTTAGACCAAATTCGGTTCAAGCTCAACTTTGGTTATTGGAAAGCTCAAAGTACTTAAGAATGGGCAAACAGAACATCTATTACCTTCTCGAACATGAACGTTGACGTGATCGGCAGGAGTATCAAGCGTAACGTGCTTGCCGGAATCTCCACCAACAGCAAACGAATAGTTAAACATATCGAACCAGTTTCCGGCGGGGAAATATGCATCGACGGTCACCGTATCTTTCTTCAGCGCCGGAGATACCATTATACTTTTACCGATCAAGAATTGAGAATCAATCTCATAGGTTTTATTGTCTTGAGGGAAGGAGAAGAAGAGCGGTCGCGCGATCGGAACACCGCTAACATGCGCATTATACATCAGCGTGTAGAGATGTGGCAGCAGTTGCATACGGAGGCCAAGAACCTTTCTCGCAGAAGAAGCAACCGAATCCCAGACGAATAGTTCTTGTCTAGCAGTACCTAACGCCGAATGATCTCTTGCGAAAGGGTAAAACGCTCCTAACTGATAATCTAAGAGCCGAAGTTAGATCATGAACTCAGGATATTAACCAGCAGAAAAATAATCTGAGAATTAATCACTCTACCTGGATCCATCGGCGACATAATTCCTCAGTGGTATCATGCGAGAAACCGCAGATATCAGCTCCAACCATTGGAATCCCAAACAGTCCAAAGTTGAGAATTCCAGGGATAGAGTAAGCCAAATCCTCCCACTTTGCAGCATTATCACCGGTCCAATGAGCTGTATATTTCCCTGAGCTCACAAACGTGGATCTCGACAAAATAAACGGTCTCTTGCCTGTTATATCTACTACAGCTTGGTGAGTGGCTTTAGCTTCCAAGAGCCCATACAAGTTATGCGCATTGTACTCACTAACATTTCCAAAATGGATAGATGTTGCGGGTACTGTCTTTTGGTTTATCGGCGTTTTGCCCCCTAAATTGTTGATCTTGTAAGGAGGATCATCGAGTGAAGATCCAGGAGACTGAGGTGAAGTTATGAAATTCGCTAACTCATTCATGTCAAGCCACACACCATCTAACGGTAGAATTTCCTGGAACGTCTTGATTTCGTTGCTCCAGAAAGTTGCAGCAGCTGGATTCAAAAAATCGGGGTAGTATACTTTTCCAGGCCAAACCTCACCGAGATAAGGCTCACCATTTCGTTTTATGAAAGCATCCACTTCCATTCCTCTCTTATATGTCCCGTAAGAGCTATTCACAGCTATACCTGCAGAGACAATTACGTAAATCCAAAAATTTCATGTCTTGAGTAATGTTTTAGAGACTCTAGAGTTATAGTATTCAGGTTTTACCGGGATCCAAGATCAACACGTATTTCTGACCGCTCTTGTGAAGTCTATCCACAAATGATTTCATCTTGTCCACCGGGAAATTCACGGGATCGAAAGTGAAGTCTTTGTACCCATCCATGTAATCAATGTCTGTCCACATAACCTCAAGAGGTATTACAGCTTTTGCATATCCATCAACTACAGATTCAAGGTCTGAAACATTCTTGTATCCATACCTACACTGGTGAAATCCTTCAAGAGCAATAAATACCATTTTAAGTAATTTCCAAACCAAAGCAAAACACACAAACAAGAATGATCTCATATAATGCTGCTATACACAGAGCAAAAACCTCTTACCAAATGACCAGTAAGGCATAGGGGCAGGTCTTCCAATAAAATCTGTGTACTGATCCATCACCAACTCCGGCGATTTTCCGGCGAATACATAGAGATCAATGATGCCTCCGATCACATTATAAGTAATCCGACTTCCTCCATACTTCACGTCCATTCCGTTGCTGTTCATCAAGAGAACGCCATGAGTCGTCCCTGCTTCATCGTGTCCGTTCGATCCTCTAACATCCATGTAAAACGGGTGCGATCCGTAAAGGTTAACGTCCGGATTCTCGCTACCGATGTCGGCGTTCCATAAAGTCATTGTATCGCCGGGAATTAGCTTGAACGATCGCTTCGTGTGCTCTCCGAGACCGTATAGATTCGATCTGTTTACCGGTAAAGAGGAAGATAGTTGAAGGAATTGGTCTTTGAAGATCAAGTAAGTGTTTGGATTCGATGGATCCGGCGAAGTGTCGAAGAGGATATCGCCGGAGGATTTTCGGGAAACGGAGAAACCGAACGGCGTTGTGTTGTGGAGTGTGAAAACTAAGTCCGATGATGGATCTGCTAAGAAATTGTTCTCCGACGAGTTTACTCCTCCGTCTTCTTCCGATAAGAAACGGAGAAGAGAGTGGTTTCCGGCGCGAGGAATGACGGTTTCCGGTATTTCCCATCTTTGTTGACTAGAATCTGTGAGTCTGATTCTCAAACGCTCACTTGTCTCCAAGCTGCATATATATAGTGACGAAATTTCCCCAGATTATCGCAGGTTTTTAAAATTCATTTGAACAAAAAAAAAAGTTCAGAATAATAGCTGAAATCAAAATTTGAAGAGATTTGATTAGAGAGAAGAAGATGATTAGCAGTACCTGACATGAAGGCTAAGTGTTTGAACATCTGCTCCGTAAACAGAAGACGGTTTTATCAGATCAAGATTCGCCGTCAAAACTTTCCCGTTGGAATCAACGGCCACTGATTTAACGACGTAGCCGTATCCAACGACTGCAGCTTCTTCTTCTTCTACTACATCTAGTAGTGCTTCTTGTGAGCTTGCAATTGAGGGAAAAGCTAAGCTCGAGAAGAAGAAGACTATGATGAGGATAGTGAGAAACCACTGACGAGATGACATTTTGGATTTTGGTGTCGGACTGTTTTTTCTTACGTTTCGTCAAATTACTCAATTTCTTTGTATATATAAGATTAAAATTAAACTATGATTTATCTCATGACTAGCGAACCAGATTGTGTGTAAAGATAAGATCAAGTGTTAATCTCATTAAAGAAATGAAGTTGGTAAATGTGATATAATACAACTTTTTGTCTTTTTATTTAGACAAAATAGAATCAAACAAACTAAGAAGGAAAGATGGAAGTCTCTTTTGCTGAAGAATCACACAGGATAAATTGTTGGTAGATTCGGAAGGATTACATATACTTGGTTCTATGAACAGAACAAGAAGTAAATCAGTAACAATAATACTCTCTTATCAAAAACATGATAAAGACAACTCTCTCTCATTTAAACTCAAAATAAATGCCACAACAACAATGGCACATCAGTCACCGACCAGATTGTCCCATGAATGAAGTGCAAGACAACAAACCCATTATAAAAATAAACATAGATTTCCAGTATGAATGTAGAATCAAACCTGATAAGCTGGTTTCATCTGAACACCAAATCCCACAAGACAAATTCACTGCTTAAAGCCTCCAGATTGGTACCTTTGGTTACTGAGGCTGGAGAAGAAATCATCTGAGATTTCGGGTGT